ATTTGTGTGATTTTGTTGCACTTTTTATATAAAAAATGACCAGAAACAAAGCAAGAAATAAGAGATAAGAAGTAAATCGTTGTCATTATTAAGCCATAATCTCAACGTGTTGGCAGATCCCTGTTGGAACAACACGTCATGGAAATTGTGATTGAAATTTTATAAAGCCAATCAAATTCTGTACAATTAAATCAATAACTGTAAATAATTATTTTGAAAGAAAATAGAATGTACAATTGTGAAAACTAATTCACTTTGCGAATTGTGTGTACATTCCTTAAGAACACATACTGCAGTACTTTAAGTAAAAGAAAAACAATCTCAAAGATTTATTGACAATGAAGTCACATGATAATCCTTACCATGGAACTTTTAAATTTTATATAACAAATAATGCATATTTGAGGTAAAATCGTCGTAATGACTACGTCCTTTTTCTCCAGAATCGTTAATATTAATGAAGTTGGCAGAAAATCGTTCGCATATTTACCAGCGTATTTTGCTTTGTCATTTATTTATAAAAAGTGGAGAATCTAAATAACTCTAAATTAAAATATGAACAATCGGTCAAATGCTATTTATGATTTACTACTCACATGAGTGTATGATGTTGTAAGCGTAAAGAATGTTTTCAGTTGGTTCAAAACAAACTAATATTGCGTTGCGTAATATTAGAAATGCTTTAGATTGAAACATATCGATTTGTATTTTGTAAGGTAACGACTAAATTATCGGATACATTTGAATGATTTGTCACGGAAACCTATTTAATCACACCAGCGAGTGAATCATATTGAGCCTCCGGCTGTAGTTTACCCGTTTCTGCTCCACGTGGGCCGTGATGTAATGAGAGTAATTTGCTGCGCAGTACATTTCTGGGAGCAAGCAGGTGGATATTAATGCAGTAATTAATTACAATCACGATAACGAAGCATTTGATTGCTTTCAATTATGTTGCTATTCATTGACATAAATCGATAAAGGTGTACTGGTGATATTTCTCCAGTGATCCTAGTGAGAGGAAACATACATACATACATACATATATATATATATATATATAATATATATATATATATTCGTAACAAAGCCCAAAGCTACTATTGGTGTTCAGAAGCAGACGTAAATACGAGCATATTTCAGTTTTCAAAGAGAGACCATGCCAAAATATATTTAAATATTAGTAACGAATGCAATCCATTTGATTACGTTATTTTTAATCGTATACTCGTTATAGAAATTTTAATTGAATGTTTCTGTAACGTTTCCCTATTCCCTTCTACTCAACGCTATTCTCTATTATTTATCTGGTGACATTTCATCAAATACTTGCGCTTGTAACACTAGAGTATATGTCATCGACATTTGCATTTATTGCTGCAAAGTGGCGCATTGGAATTGATGCAACGACCTGCATCAGTGGAAGCGTATGGTGGACAGAGAACAATAAATGTTCAGCGTTCATGATGCATTTTACGATAAAAACAAATATTTTTTGAACAAAAGAGACTTTTTTGAACTTTCAAAAAAAACTACAAGAAATTCAATCCCTTGTACGACGAGTATTACGATTAAAATATTTAGGAACAAATCTCCCAGAAAAAGCTAATGAGAAATGAAAATTACGATAAAATGCATTCGCTTTATTGTCAAGTCTTGTTACACACGCGGTGTCTCTTTAAATCATGAGGTTTCGTAGCAGGTTCACAAAGAAATCAACGTAATTCATCTTCAAAGTTCTTCTCTCGAAAACATATGGACAACTGATGTTACTTGGGAGATCCACAGCACAAGAGGTATAAGAGCACATCTGAAAAATTTGAGTTTGGAAATTATTAAACTTCCGCTCCATTTTATTTCGCGAAAAAATGGTTTTACAATAACTCAAACAGTTGCCGCGATCAATCGGTGGAAAGAAAATACCTTCCATAGCGTATACTATAGTCACTCAACTTTGAACTCGATTTTTTCAATACCGCATTTAGGTCACTTATATCCCTTATGCTCTAAGCCCATCACTCACAGAGTTCGATTGCTTTAATATTTCAATTTTCCTGTGGAATCTAACAACGTGAAAGAAAACGTGTTTTGGTTTTTACCAACTCTCAGTTCAGCCTAGTTAAACGACGCTTTAATTATCCTAAGCTTCTGCTGACCATACCTGCAAAGTCTGTAATTCTGACCCCATTGTTCTGTCCTTGACCTTAATTGAAAGTCAAGACTTGCAGGCGCACAGTCAGATGCGTTCGTGAGCGTCGATCGAAACTTTGTCACAGAGCTTCCCGTGAAACAGGAATAGAGTCCAACACGTCGTACAGTCAACATGTATGGGGTACCAAATAGGTAGCGCAAATGTACCTCCTTCTCGCTGTGTTTCAGTTGTACCGCCCACGTCGCCATCAGATGAGCATCACTGAAGGAGTAAAAACGGCAGAAGTGCTCGATAGACCTTCCACAGTTGTGAAGATGAGTTAAAGTGTCGTCGACTTCATGGAAACGACGGATGTTCTCAGACTTAGCAAATTTTCCCCTGAAATCTTCCACTTAAATGTTGCTACTTGATAAGGGATATTCAAAATATATTTTGAAGTCGACGACACTTTAACTCATTTTGGCAACTGTAGAAGGCCCACCGAGCACTTATGCCGTTTTTTGCTCTTTCAGTGATGCTCAACTGTTTGATAGAGACGTGGGCGGTGAAAACTACGTAAGCGAGTGATATTTGTCGCGCAGACCATCTCTGGAAGAGATGGCATCACGTTACGTACAATCGATACTCTAGCACTTCAATATCTACTAGGTTTCGATCTTAAAATAATCTCAATGATAAGAACCAGTAGGATGTCTTGAAGAGAACATCCTTTCACTTTGCCCAGACATCGGATTTAATTTTACCCATCGTGTGTTGCGGAGTGTACACCAAATAATGCCGAGAAATATGTAAGTCTGTCCTTCCTCCTCTTCGACCTAGCCATACGCCATTATTCTCGCTTAACCCACGTTCCAGTGCAGCAGGTGCAACAGAAAGAGCGAAATTAGTTTTGGTCGCGCAGTCCATCTCTTTGAAAGACGCGGACAGCAACACAACAATGTTCAAGCAATCAAATAGCTAGAATTTCCTCTGATTGTACGAAACGAACAAAAACTAGCCGGATACCGACGAAAAACGTGCTTTGAATCTGACCAACTCCCAACTCGGCTCAGTTCAGCTCTGGGCACTGAACGTCGCTTTAACTCTCCTACTCAATTGCAGAGGATATCTTCAAACACTGTCGGGAAGTAAGTCTGCCCTTCTTGGCGTCTGTGCTGTGTGACATCATGCCCGGTGTAAACCATTCCCCGGTTCTGCTCTTGGAACAGGAAGAAAGTTTTCGCGACTACTGGAAATTACGCTATCTCTTTGAAACTATTACGGGACGATTAATCAACCTTCACCTACTTTGGATGTGGTTCGAGCACTCGAATATTTAGGCTTTCATCTGGAAATACGAAATGAATACGAGCTAACCGGTGGCAAGTGAAATTGTGTTTTGAATCTGACCAACTCCCAGCCCAGCTCTGGGCAGCCGAACGACGTTTTAACTCTCCTACGCAACTGCGGAGGGCAGTCCCAAACTCTGCCGAGAAATAATTCTCCTCGCCAACCGAGCCGGACGCCATCATGCCCGATGTAAACCCGGGCCCCGTCGTTGCAAGTGCAGCAAGAAGGGAGCGTAATTACGAGCATTTACCAAAACGTTTTTGAGACTCGCGGGCAAGTTCCACAACTTAACCTACTGTGAATGTTCGAGCACTCGAATATTTAGGCGTTCATCTGGAAATGCAGAATGAACAAGAGCTAACCGAACGAGAAGTAAAAACCAGCTTTGAATTTAACTCCCAGCCCAGCTCAGCTCAGCTCTGGGCAGCTGAACGACGCTCTAACTCTCCTATGCGACTGCGACTACCCCAAACTCTGCCGGGAAGTCAATTCTCCGTTCCTCCTCGCCAACCGCACCGGACGCCATCAACCCCGTCCCGGCGGCGACGCCGCACGTGCAACCGGAAGCGAGCGTAGTTTGTCGCGCAGTCCATCTCCCGGAGAGGCGCGTGCAGGTGGCGCCGCCTTACCTTCCGGCGGTGTGGCCGCAGCTGCGTCGGAGCGGACGGGCGAGCGGGTCGAGAGCGGAGGGCCGTGTAGCGAGTCCCGGCGGAGTCCCGTGGCTTTATGTAGCGGCCCGGCGCGGCGCGGAGGCAGCAGGGCCCTCGGCTGCAGCTGGGAGCGGCGATCGCTCAGCCAGATTGCTTCATTATGCGACCGCCGCGGCCGCGTCGAACGCAGATGCTCGAGATTTACGGTCGCGCGACAGAGCGTCGCAGCCGCCCCCGGCTGGACGCCGCGTTGCTGCTCAGCGGCCGCGGGCGCCGTCGACATCGAAGCCATTTCCCCTGAGAGCTTCCGCGGTTGATTGACGCGCTCTGTCCGGTTCGGTTCCCCTCCCTGTCTCCGTTTGTACCAGGAGTAACCTGTTAACGGGGCAGCCTTAGACCAGGCCCCGACTTAATTCGGGCCCTAAAAATTTCATTTCATCCAAGATACGTAAAATAAACATTTAGGTATTATCTGCTATTATATGTTATCTTGGACCCTGGTTTCTCTAGATTCGAAAGGAGTGGGGTAGAATGGTATTTGGACGACAGGACTTTTGCGTCAAATCTGTAGTTGTCCCAGGCCCCGAGTTAATTCGGGCCCTGAAAATTTCATTTCACTCAAGATACGTAAAATAAAAATTTAGGTATTATCTGCTATTATATGTTTTTTGGGGCCCTAGTTTCGCTAGATTCGAAAGGAGTGGGGCAGAATGGTATTTGGACGACAGGACTTTTGCGTCAAATCTGTAGTTCCTTTTTGCGATGCAAAATAGTTTCTATCACACAGGAACAGGCAAATATGGTTATCAGACTGAGTCAATAACAATCCTTCGCATAATTTATTCTAAATTCAACTAATGTTAGTTCAGGGGTGAGCAGGGTCGTAGTTATGGGGTGGCCAGGCGTGCGGCTGCCAGGGGCGCAAACCTGAGGGGGGCGCACAGTGCGGACCCACAGCCCGCAAGTCGCTGGGGCACAGACACACAAAATTAAAACAGGATGATTACTTACAAAATAAAAAAAACTTGCACTTGATAACGATGGGCTCCCATTTATTAGGAATTGAGATTCTTATTGTATTGTTTTCCTTCCTACATAAGTAAGAACTAATTTTATGCTTAAGGAGATTGTCGGTAAAAGATGTATTTTCTACTGACGAGATTATTTTGAGACTATTTAATGATGTCTGTAAGTAATGCAACAGGAGAACTATCTTTCTTTGCTTTGAAACACGTAAAAAATTATCTGATATGGAGTCTTAAACAAGACACATTGAATGCATTATCTGTTATACATAGAACATGACAACGCGTAGTTTGATGTACGCATAGAGTTAAAACATTTGCCGAGACTAAAGGGGGGAAAGGAGATTCCGTATGATAACGCATATTTTATATGTAGACCTAAATGTTATTATGACTCTTTTCGTTTAGTTAACTCAAATTTCATGAAAAATCGTTGATTATCCCTATGTTCATGGCATGCGTTCAATAAAAATTTAATCTTGCAATTAAAAGCCCACAACAGACAATCAAAACTCAGAATTGAACGAAATCGTTTAATTGTGCATCTATAATACAGACGTTTCCATGAAACATGAACAAAAATGTACATCACATATTACGTGCGCCAAAAAAAATATTATAAACAGTGAACGAATGAAACAAAATTATAAATGAATTATTATTACTACTTCTTAGACAATCATGTTAATATTTGTAGCAGAATTTACTAATAAGTTAAATTAGAAACCATTACCCTACTCATACTTGGCATCAGTCATCTAACCCAGAAGTCGCTTTATATTGCACAGTTATGTTAATTCACCTATTTGAACGTGACCGCTCAGAGAGAGCAGTTGTTTTGACAAAACCCCTAAATTGTTTTGAAAAGTCAAGTAAATTGAAGACACTGAAGTTCGAACTCTAAGCTGACAGCCGAAGCCCCTCAAGTTTAATGTCTGGATGCCACGACTAAATCGCGTGTCAACAGGGATAGAGAATTCAAAACATACTTGCAGATGCATTCATTTCATTACGGACATCTCACGCCTCTCTGCCAATTGCATTAAATTCACAGAGATTCCGTTTTATAAAGATTTTTTCCCCTACAGGGCATGAAAAATTGTTCCGTTTCCATGTTGGAGAGGTTCCATTTAATGTTATGTAAAATGACATTTAACTTCACGGGCCGGAGAAATGGTCCGGGTAAGGCAAGTTTCCGGCTTGTACAGGCTCCGGTTTAGACATATTTACTGTAGTACATACAGTCGTTTAAGGAGAGGGGGTCTCTTGAAGATTGACGAGTTGTAACAAAGGGGAGGAAAGGTGTAAAAAAAGGTAATTTCTGAGAATGTATTTTTTTGAAAGTCTAAGTCTTTTTTTTCTAAGTATTTCATCAGCTCACATGTCTAAAAAAACATCACTTTTGTCGTTGAAATACTGGCAACACTACCGCACCAGTTCCTTTGCAGATGCAACCAATATTAAAATGTAGTCATTAACAAAATTACAACTTTTAGTTACCTAGTTATTTCTTCTCATGGAGTATGACTCTTTGCAGAATGACTGTGTAATTTGTAGGATTATCTACTCCGTGAAGGACGAGATATTTTGCAGCGAGAGTTAGACAAATTATACATTTGGGCGGAAACAAATGGCGTGTTAACCAACAGCTCAAAAGAGCGTCCATCACCTTTGGTAGGGCTAGACCATAGAGGAGAGATACAATATCTCAACTCTATGGGCTAGACAGTACATTAAGCTGGAAAATAAAGTAAATTTTGTTGTAGGGAAAACCTGGAGATCTTTGCATTTTGTAGTGCGGATTCTGAAAAGGAGTTCAAATCCTCGTTAGCAGAGCTAGGATTTTGATGACCTGAAAACTAAATAAAAATGCCCTAGAAAGAGTGCATTTATGCCCTAAAACATACCTACTTCGTGATATTTACACTGCAAAACACTTCTTTCTTCGGTGCCGTGATAAAATATTTGAAATAAATTGAATACTGCAGAGTTCCACTTCCCCCTAAGACTTGCACTGACTTAGCTCGCGAGACATAATCAGTGCACAGAAGTCTACACCGAAGACAAATTCCGAAGATATAGTTTAGGGAGTTCTCCGTCTCCTGTCCTCACACCGTTGAAAGCTATTGACACAACGTTGACAGGATCCTGTTGCTTTTGCGCGATAATGGATACGGCGTCGACAGCAGCATTTGTCTGTTTAGAATTGAGCACGTAAACACCAAAAAATGAAATAAAACTGCTGAAAAAAGTAAAAAAAATGACCAAACAACTACCTCAAAAATGTTTTTTTAACCAAAAAATGCTCCAACTAATACATGTCAAACGTCTCAAAACAGTGACGTATGTTAGTACCAAAGACGTATTTCTCAAGAACGAGAAAAAAAGATGCAAAATCATCAAATTCTTAGCCCTAGTGCGACCCATATTAGAATATGGCGCATTACTCTGGAAGCCATTCAGAGTTTTGTCGAAAAAGAGTCTAGAAAAAGTCCAATGTAGAGCATCAAAATTTACTTTCAAGAGTAGAAACCAAGAATAAAGGAGTATGGGGGTTCCTCGAACGAAGAAGTAATTCGCGTCTCTATGTTATGTATATAGCGAACAAAGGTTTTCGAGCGTGGAAAGAAATTCGACTTAGATTAGGATACCTAACCTTGTACATATTGCAGCAGAGCGGATCGCATGCACAAATTTCAGAAAACGAACGTTGGGAATGCAAAGTTTCAAAAGTAGAGAGCAATTCGCGACTCGAACGGTTTGTCTGTGACAATCTTTGATCCCATTCTGCAAAGGCAGAGAAAATTTAAAAATAAATTAGTTTCCTAGATGTTGGTGTATTACAAATGTCTTTAATATTATTAAATTACAAGTCTTTTCTCTAAAGTTGTATTATAATTATTGCTATTATTAATGTGCAGTGGTGTTATGAAGTTGAGGGAAACAAGTTTGTAAGAAAGACATTACAGTTGTGATCCGCAGTGTGGGGAAGTGAAGTGCAGTGAGATGGAGTGCTATGAAAACTTCCATGATGGTATGTTCACGTTAATTAGTAAAGTTTGTAAAGTTGTTAGTACTGTAATGTTAAGTTAGTATATTCTGCCAAAAAGTTCTCAAACTTAATTGTAGAATTAGTAATAGATATAATAACATATTTCTGACATAAGGGGATACAACCAATTGTTTTTCTTCACTTTTCAATTCGTGTGTGTTTTTATAGCTTGCGAGTGAATTAATATTATGTAATTGTTGATTATTAATTTGAAATCGAAAAACATAAACCACTAAAACAAAAAATCATACAACAGCTTTCATTAAAGACACCAATTACACTTCAAGAGCTCACATTCTTCATTACAACAAGTTGGTTTATTCTAATAGAAACCCATTAACAGATAGTACAAAATAAGAATGTTCAATTTCCATACAAAATAACTTATCCCTTTTTAAGCAAAATTGCCTCTTGGAATGAATCAATACATCTTGAATTATTTACACAGATTCATTAAGATATTAATAAGTGTTGAAAACTGCGTAAAAAATGATCCTTCCATTTACTTACTTCGCAAGGAATAGAATTGCAATAAATGACATAGAATAATGAGCAATCATGGTCTAAGGACAATGTTTTTCAGACATTATTTTATATTATGCTTTGTTTTTATATCTTAATATTTACAAATAGTAGAAGAAGCATTAAACTATATTAAACAAAGTATTCATATCACAATCGTCTTCAAAATATTTTGGCCTCTATCACTGTCTTTGCCATCCTAATGGAACAGATTTCACCACACACTGTTTATGATACAAATTATATCTTTTTTTTAAGAATTACAAAAATATTAAATTACAGTTATAAAACTCAGAATCATTATTTTCATAGAATTCTGTCTTAGAATTTAAATAATTGACTTTGTTTTACATTCTCTTATGTTTTGGATCATTCGCATCTTCCTCACTTGCATCTGATTTTCGTTTTTTTGTAGTATCTGAGTCTTCATTACTAACTGAGGCCTCTAAGGTCTGAAAAATAAATGAGAAATGGTTAAATTAATGAATATAAGAAAATATGAACATATCTGGACTAAAATGATACTGAATGTTTACTTAGATTCACATTTCAATACGAAATTCAAATGATTAGAGTACGGGTTTATGATTTACTCATCTGTTTATTTTAACACTAAATTTCAAGTTTGCATTATACCTTAGATTCATTACTATTTTCTGGAGCAGCATACTTCTTAGTCCATTCTTTAGCTTTTCTTTCATATTCTGGTTTATTGTAACGATACTCTTCTGCCTAAAATATATAAATCATATGATTATAGAGGATGAAAAATTAAATTTGATCTATCATTGTTAGAAAGCCTATGCAACCAAATCTCAAATTTACTTACTATGTCAGCCATTAATGGATCATCAGGATTTGGAGTAGCAAGTAATAACTGCACAGATACTAGCAAGCCAGCCAAGCTTATTGTTGGTCGCCAGGAACCTTTGGAGGGTAATTTTAAGAGGTCTAAACATATTCGACCTGACACATCCACATTTGGGTGATAGACTGGAGTTTTAAATTGTACATGTGGAGGCTCAAACGGATATCTACAATATTAGAATTATTGTGACAACAGATTAAACCAACTCTTGGAGCATTAAATAAACATGTAAACACTGAATATGAAAATATATTCAAACTCACTTGTCAGGTATTTTTATTTCTAATTTAAAAACACCTCCTTCATATGGTGACCCTTTCAATCCTATCATCTCTGCAACATAACAGAAAAAAAAATTGATTTCAAAGTAATAAAAAACCTGTAATTTGAGGACAAGTTCTATTGACTTTCCCATACTAACTTGCATCAAGAACATCGATAATATCTTCCTCTTTCGGGGAGCATGATATTCCTGGAGGGGGCCGAAGGGCAAGAACTTCCAATTCGCGTTTCAATCGAACACCCTTCTGCATTATTGTAACAGTGCACTACGCACAAGATATCACAATGCTACAGTACAACAAAATCTTCTAGAACCCTACAGTAGAACGAGAAGAAAAATCAAGTTTCTCTAAATAAAACAATTTGATCCACCTGCCGCCAACTCTCCAGTCACTTTTACCGCGGTTTTCACTGAGTCGACTTTGGCGATCACCTATCGATTATTATGTGATCGACTTAGCGTCGTTTAGCTCGTGTTTATGAGACTCCTCAATATTCTTTTTTATAGAGCGTACGCGATATGTATATTTAAACACTTTTAAACATACTTGTTTGAATTTATTTTAAATTTACATCATAAAACTAGAGCGAATTTTCTTTATTAATATTTCTTCATCAGTACGTATGAATGCCTCATGCTTGGCAATAGTGGAACGCCCACCGAACACGGAACTCGGCAATTTCTTTGACAGCCTCCAAGAAGTACAGTTATTTGATTATAAGTAATCTGTGCTATTCCGTACCAGGTGGTCCGTCCGGTTCTTATCAGTATTATTGTTTTTATGTAGATGAGTAATGTTCCGGAAGAAGTTTAGAGAAGTACCATGATGAATACGGGTTAATCGCAAATATTTCGATTTCATCTTAGTGCCGGGATCAAAAGCAGCTGCACACTGCCTCAATTGGTAAGTACTGCCCAGTGAAAGTGAAATAACTCGCCCGAGTAAAGGAAGTATTTTCAAAAACATTATAAAATCTGAATAAAAAATAATGAGTAGAGTAGTGATTCTGTTGACAAATCAATTTTGGGGAACATAATAGTAAATAGAATCATATAACAAAATATGTTGTTGTTGTCATGAAAACTTCTTCTAGAATGATATGTGTTGAAAGACAAATCGTAATGATTCAGAAAGACAAATTTCATTTAAGCATACCACTAATTACAAAATATTAACTTTTGCTTCTCATGTTACAGGAATTTCACAATGTCTAGTTCAGCAATAGAAGACCATGGGAGCCGAAGTGGATCATCTGCATCAACATTTTCATCTTCTCTTCCTGGAGATGAAAATCTAAATGGGCGATTGGTGGATTTTTCATCACGCCAGTGTTCTGTTGTGCGAACTGCTCCTGCACGTAAAGCAAAACGCATTCGTTTTTATCGCAATGGTGACAAGTTTTATAAGGGTGTGATGATTGCTGTAACGCCAGAAAGATACCGTTCTTTTGATAGTTTAGTAGCAGATCTAACGCGGGCGTTAGTGGATAATGTAACTCTTCCCAGTGGTGTGCGTACTCTTTTTACAATGGATGGTCGCAAAGTATGTTGCCTTGAAGATTTAGAAGATGGTAAATGTTACGTGTGTTCTGGGTTGGGTGAATCATTTAAAAGGGTGGATTATGCATCTACTCAGGTATCAACTAAATTAAAACACAGGAAGTCTGTTTCATCAATTCAATCTCCTGAATCCCCTCGTACTCCCCCTATGAGAAGCTGTCATCCTGATTTTGTTAGACCTCGCTTAATAACTATTATAAGAAATGGAACTAAACCTCGCCGAGTGCTGAGATTGCTTATTAATAAAAGAAATGCACCTTCATTTGATCATGCCTTATCCAGTATAACTGAGGCAATAAAACTGGATTCAGGAGCAGTGCGGAAAGTATTCACAAAAGATGGATCTCAGGTAATTTATTTTAATAATAATAATAATAAGTTTCACAGTTGCTGTTAATGAATTTCAACTTATTTTGTGTAATTAGTCTTGCACTAAAAAGCAATAATGAATTAAAGTTAAATGTTGTATGAAAACTTGTATATTTGTTTGTTGTTCACATGGTGGAATGGCATTACTGTAATCAGTCATTCTCTGTGAGATATTAATGTGAATTAAGTTTTTTCTTTTCAAAAAGTGAATAATTGGTGTTGAGATTTTTTGACTACTTATTTTTCTTTCATTAGTCATTGACAATGTCACATTTAAGTACAAATTGTGGTGTTGAAAACTATCTATTAATGTGTTAAATTATCTGTTAACGTGCATGCTTTTGAACAATTTTTTTATTGTATTATAACTGCATATTGTGAGATATAGTTAGTGAAATTTCTTAATATTTTAAGATCTGACTACTTTAGTTGTTAGCAAAAATAGATATAAAATTGTTGGAGGGTTATCCCTCGTTGTTTTTGATCGTTTTTTCCTTCACAATTAACAATTAATTAAAATCTCATAGCTTGCCATCATTTCTCAATATTGCTGTTTTTATTTTTATCTGGGGAGGTTTTTGTTGGTTATCAGTTTCAATTTTTCTAAGTACCTTAAGTGTTACAGAAATTCATTTATTGTTGAAACTCATGAAATTCATTTAATAAAACAAAGCAATTAATTGCAGGTAATACAACTTCAAGACTTTTTTGGAAGTGCAGATGTTTTCTTTGCATACGGTACTGAAAGACATAGCCGTGAAGATTTTGAACTGGACCCTGAAGGTAATGTAGTGTTTTTAGCATGTCTAATCAAAATGAAAATTAACAGTAGGTAATTCAGTTTGATAGGTTCTTCATATGCTCGTCCTCAGTGTATTTAATCAAATCAGTTTTTGGAGATAAGAAGCTGACAAGTATGGGAAGGTAATGGTGTAGGTCTATTGATTATCTAATGACTCACTTTACTCATGGGAAATTTCTGAGTCCTTAGCTGTGCCTTTGGTTGGAGTGTATATGAAAGTGAAAACCTAAGGAATTACTTTTGAATGTGACATTGGGATCAGTATAAATCTTGTACTTCAGTAGTTACTTTGTTTAGAAAAGTTCTAATCTTTCAAATGCTTTTTTCAGAAGCTAAAGCTATTCAAGCTATTAGCAAAAGTCCAGGGGGTCGAAGATCTGGGGATGCATCTAGAAGTAATCCAGATGGTAAGAATTGTTCTAAAAATGTAAAGTTTCTCAATATTAATTATTGAATTATGATAACAGTAGTTAAAGTTAAACTCCATGCTAAGCATCTATGATTTAGTTGACAAAACGTTTCTTTATTGCTTATGCTAATTTACGCTTGCAGTGGTGGTTGAGTTTTGTGTTTGTGACATCTGATTTGATTATGGTGTGTTCTTTAGGTTCTCGGATACCTACAAGCATGCCTAAAATGCCTGTCAAAACTAAAGTTTCAAAAGTAGATCAACAGCTTGAAGCCCAAGATATATTCTCTGCGGTTCCTTCATCCCTTAGACTTAGATATCAAATAGGCTCCATCATAGGTGATGGTAATTTTGCTGTTGTGAGGCATTGTATAGATCGGTAAGTGCTAAAGAAAGTGCATGAGCGTTTCATTGTTATAATGTTTAAAGTAATGGTAATGAATCCTCTTTGAATATTAATTATTGATTTTTAACAGAACAACAGGTGTGGAATATGCTTTGAAAATTATTGACAAATCTAAATGTAGAGGGAAAGAACACATGATTGAAAGTGAAGTAGCTATTTTAAGGAGAGTACGCCATCCAAATATAATCAGACTAATAGAAGAACATGATTCACATTTAGAATTGTACCTGGTGATGGAACTAGTGAAAGTAAGGTTATTAAAGTAAAATTACCACATTTTTGTGAAGTGATAATGCTTAAAACACATTTAAGCTAAATTGAGTGTTTCAGGGTGGCGATTTATTTGACGCTATTGCAGCAGCAACAAAATTTTCAGAAAAGGAAGCTAGTGTAATGCTTCGAAACTTAGCATCTGCTCTTTTTTATCTTCATAGTCTCCAGATTGTCCATAGAGACATTAAACCAGAAAATTTATTGGTGAGTCTGTTACTATTTCTGCTGATATGTACTTCATCTTTCTTTTAATGTTAAATTAAAGGTGGTCATAGGAGTGCCAAAATCTATTTTGAAAAGAAAAACTGGAAAAAAATTGACATGAAGCGAAGGAATTAAAAATTTTAAATTGTATTGCAGTTACTCATTTCATGTCATAATTTGATTATGTCTCTGTTGTTTTGTAATGCATTGCTTCCAAAGTAAGTGGTTGTTCTCCTTTTGTAATTTCCTGTAGGGATATTTGTAATACACTCCATAAAAAACAAAATTCCAAATTGTAGACTAATTTGTGTTTAGTCAGATTATATTTTTTTACCCTCAAAAGCACTAATTTTATTCTTTACTTTAAAGTGTAGTTTTATCAGTGGAGCAAAATAAAGGACCTATTGGCATATTTTCAGATCTTTTGAAAGCATGTGACTTCATTGGACCTAACATTTTGCATTTGAAATTACATTTGTATGGAATTCTCTTCGATTTCCTGTGTTAGTTATCACCGGGGCTTGGATTCTGATGACCTAAAGATTATTTTAAAATGACTTAAAAATAAGTGGAAAATGACATCATTTATTCAAAAATTGTATGAAAATGTTTATTTATTCAATGGATTTAGAAATTTTAAATAAAATTTATTTATATGAAGTTAAATTTAATATAAGTCTTTATTGTAGGAGGAAATGTAATTCTTAGTTCTAATCTTCCAAACGTCAATTTTGAAAGGTCAAGAAAGGTACTGAAGATCCTTGTAATTTTGAGAGTTCGAAACAGTTACTGCAGTAGTGAATTCTGTCATGAACAGATGGTACAATATTAACTTTGTTTTAGACTGTCATTGTAAATTCATGAAACATTCACTAACAAAAAATTCAAAAAAGAAACAAATTGCGTAAAAATGACAAAAATGGTGCAAAGGTCCAAAAAAGACGTAAGTATTAAAAAATACCTAAATATGTCAAAAATTACCCAATAACTATATATTTCTATCACCTACATGTCGTGATAAACATTGATATACAAGTTAGCTTCATCCAGATTGAACCAATGAAAAGGTGACAAGTGTCCGAATCCGAGCCCTGGTTATCACTCTATCTTCAGTAACAGTTTCAAAGTGTTAAAAATACCTTATGGGAATGGAGTGACATGATTTCTCGTCTTTCTGATTTATTGCTAATTGAATGGTATTCTGGCAATGTTCAGTTTTATGTTCTGCCCCATCCTTCTAAATGTCAATGATATGCCCTTGTCAATTCAAATCGGAAGAAGATTTATTCACTCACAACATGAATTTTCTGTGCAACAAAGAAACATGCAGTACTTTATTAGAGGCATTTTTTTTCTTTTTTTCCCCTCCAACAAATTAGTAGTAATAAATTAATTATTAGTTGGGTAGTCCATGTGCAATTGACTAATCTGAAAGTAGTAATATTTTTAGATAACTCAGTTCAGACTAGCCTTAAATGCCCTTGTAAAGGCATTGAATACAAAATTAATTTCATTTTGTTTGATACCGCATGGGCATCAATGAATTTGTCCCAAATTTTTGTTTCAAGGAAATAATGTACCACGTATTTTCATAAAACATAAGTTTTTGTATTAACACATTTTTGTAATACTTGTTATTTTATTAATTTTTTTATTTGTGATAAATGTGATTGCAAATGTATGCAAGATGTTTGTTAGTGGCAGATGTACGTCTCAAAAATGAATTCTTGTATTCTTGAAATTGTAATAGAAAGATAAGTGTGTTGAAAAAAATGTTTTTTGGTGTGATTATAATGTAATCAGTAGTATTGATTAGTATGTTACAATTGTGTTATCTTTTTATAGAGGATGTTCGAAAAGTATTATTTTATTAAGTATTTTGTTGTAGATTTCAGATCATCAGTTTTTATAATACTTCAAAGTTTTTATATGTTCTTTCAATCTTCCATCTCACATCACCCCATTATCTCATGAGTCATGAAGACTTTAAATTTCATTACAAAGGCCTTGCATAACAGAATATTTATGAATATTTAATTTATATTTAATAACTTTGATGTCTATTTAACAGCTTTTATTTTAGTCAAACCTTCATAGAAACCTACAATAAAAGATCTTCCCTTTGCTTATGGTCATGGAACTGAAATTAGGGGAAGTTTTGACAACACCCGTTTTAACTCATTTGTCAAAATAAACTGTTTTTAATGTTTGTTAAACTGCATTGTAAGAGTCATCTGGGAACCTTGATTTTTGCCTCATGTAAGACAGAAATAATACCTTTCATCTAAGGTTATTTCCGGGAGAGATAGCTCAGTGCATCAGCTGATGTCACTGCAGTGCCTCTGGCCGAGAGGTTCTAGATTTGAGTCTTGACAATAACAAGATATTTGACACTAGCTTGTCAACTAGGTTGAATTCAGTTGCAATTTGGAGGAGAATTCTAGAGGCCCACTCCTATGATCGGTAGTTTTCTCTGGTTTCTCCAAGCAACACCAGGCGAATGCCAGAGCAGTATCCTAACAAACAGACTGCACGTGATCGTTCCTTCCTTTTCGTTGCCTTATCCTCACCCCCTTACCGCTTGGGAGCTTAGAGCTTGCCCTGGCTAGGGCGATGCCCTGCTGGTGGGAGATACCTGGTTAAAGGAAAACCTGCTAGCTGATGGTAGGTCAGTGCGGGGGCTTGCCATCCAGCGGGGGAAAATCACTGCCACCTCCCAAGGAAAACCTGTTCTCTTACGAGACTAGTAACTTTAGTAGTTGACGTGCTCGAAACAACCAACCAGCCTAAGGTTATTCACATTTTTTATTGTTATCAAGAAGAACACCCCAAAATTAACTAAATTGAGACCTTGTCAAATACTGACTAGCAAAGGTGGCTCAGAGCATCGCTTTGTCTTTCACTGGGAGGGTCTGAGGTTCGAATCGTGGCTTTGACAGGATTTTTGACACTAACTTGTCAGCTAGATTGAATTCAGCCACTGTCTGGTAGAGAATTCTAGCAGGGGGTTGTTCTGATCGGTAGTGTTCCATGTTTTTTTCCCGAATAACATCAAGTGAATGCCAGAGGAGTACCCTAAGAAACGGGCCACAGACCACATGTAATCTTTCCTTCCCCTTCCTTGTCCTATTCTCACTCCTTACACACACACATACACTCACAAGCATTACACTACCACGTATGTTGGGGGACCAGTTGTGTGCATAGAGCTGTTCACCTGGAGCAGGACCATGCTGATGGGAGATACCTGATTAGGGAAAATCCCTCTGGCTAATTGAAGTTGGTGTCGAATGTCACCAGCAAGCGAGAAACGGTCTGTGCCACTTCCCGCAATAAAAACGTGCACTACACGTACAGGAATAATTATTTTGGATGTTGATATGCCTGAAATCACTAATCAGGCAATCATTGTCAAATACTGTAGAGCTCACATTGTTCCCTTTCTCCTGTACATGATTATGAAGCTGAAAGCATGAATTAGTCGTGATGGAGATTGCATGCTTTGCTACCAGCTACAATGTGCAGGAAAAGTGGCAGCATATTTTCACCTTTTGTAGGAAAACCAAGTTATTTGTATTCAGCCTTTGTTGAGGGTATAACTAGTAAAACTAAATCTGACCAACTACTTGGAAATATTTGTAGACTTCTTCATAAGAAATAAATTCCTCTTGAACAAATATTCTGTCTAGCATAGATTGGAAACACTTTCTGTTCTGCTCTCTTTTTTCCCTTCTCTTCCTTTCTTTCTTTCATAATTTATTTGTAGATATTGAGGACAGCCCATTTGTCTTGTATAACAGTGTTATAATTTATTATTCTTCCATTAGTTTTATGCAAATGGACATTTTGATCTTCTTCCTCCCCATAACTTTCACCTCCTGTGCAGCAGAAATGGTCATTATAATCATCCCCAAACCAATTACAATTTCACATTATTATTTATCTCTTATTATTCATTTATTGAAAGTTGCTTATAATCATTTCTTGCTCTAATTGGAATTAGTAAGTGGTCAACCAACTTATCTTTTTCAACTTAATTTTTATTGGCATATGTAAAAATGTTTTTGACTTTTTACTTCATTTTATGTAAATGTGTACACAGCCCAAAAATACAAGTAGTTGCTTTGTTAAATCTGCATTTATTTACTTGAATTAATCAAGTTAAAATTGTAATTGCTTCCAGTAATGAAATGAACTTTGTTTTATGAAGAAAGGAATGTAAGTAGGTTATTTATTCTTCAAGTTTCATTTTGATTTATTTGTGTAATTGACATTTTTACTAGTAGATGCAATTAAGTGACTACTTCCATCTTCCGAGCTGCAGACTATTTCTGTGGAGGAATGTGTAATAAAAGCAACTGTATATTTTTTGAAAGTGTTTAAGGCTTGATGAAGTGTTGTGTATTTGCCTTTCATGAAAACAAATCATTTTATGAAAGGAAACACATTCAGCATTATTCCTACCTTGGAGATGTTGGTCTCTTATTAATTTTTGGCCAAAATGGGATATTTTAACACTTTTAGTTCCATTTTATTGCTTTTCTTCAAGAGTTTGAAACCTACAGTATTAAGAAAATTAGAAGCAATCAAAATAATTCATGTATATATGTATAATTTTATTTCGGTCAATATAATGTTGTGGATTCTGTGATATTGCATACTTGCCCAAAGGTAGTCTGCAATATTATATTGTCTTTATAAAAGTCTTGTCTTCGTTCATTGCTTCTTTATATCAAGATGTAGTCTGCCAAATATTGATTTGTTGTATTTTGAGCAAATTGATGCTTTGTAAATAAGTTATGCTGACATTTATTATTTTATTGTAGGTTGAAGTGGATGCACAGGGTACCAAAGTATTGAAATTAGCTGATTTTGGGCTGGCCCAGAAAGTTACTGAGCTCTTATATACAGTGTGTGGTACTCCAACATATGTTGCTCCAGAAATCCTAGCAGAAGCAGGGTATGGCCTAAAAGTAAGTGCAATATTGATAACGTTTTGTTAAAATTATTGTAGACTTTTCCAAAACTATACCCTATTCAACAAACCTTAAAAATTTAATCAAGAATTCTGTAATATTTGAAGAGTCAATATCTTCCTTTTGAAGAGTTGTACAGTTCAAAATGGAATAAAATTTTCATTGTGAGCAGTGAGTTGAAAAAATAAAACAGTAATGTTTGGTGAGCATTATCTTTTTCTTCAAAGATGGCTATTGTGGTTAAGCATTAAGTGATATTTATCAAAATACAGGAAGGGTGAAAAAACTTGCTTCTCTTTCAGATTGATGTGTGGGCTGCTGGAGTTATTTTATACATACTTCTTTGTGGATTTCCACCTTTTGTTAGTGCCACTAGTGACCAAGAAGAACTATTTGATCGCATTCTTAGTGGACATTACGAATTTAGTTCTCCCTATTGGGACAACATATCACATTCAGCTAAAGATCTGATTACTCACATGTTGCAAGTACAACCAGAACTGAGGTTTTCAGCTGAAGACGTCCTGGATCATCTCTGGCTGGCAGTAAGATATTTTCTCTCTTAAAATAGGATCTTTTTTCATTTGTTTTTATTTTTATGTTGCGATCTTAAAATTGAATTAAAGGGTAAGCCTAAGAACTCAATAAATGCACCATAATGAGATTTTGTCTTTTAATATATTATTGGAAACGTGTATTGTCTTTTAATAACTTGTTGGGTATCATTGTATTCATCCTTTTTAATATACTTTTGTAAGTTAATATTTGTCTCAAGAAGAAGAATGCCTGAACCCTTTTTATTAATTGTGTTGTTCCTTGGGTAAAATAATGTTCGAAACAGTCTCAATAAAGTTAAGATGGTTTTTGACAGTTTTTTGCATTATCTGTAGAGCATTTTATTTTGATAAATTTTTGTATTTTTTCATAAGTAATGAAAACAGTCTTTCTAAGCAATTTTATGGTTTCTCTTTTATAACTCACATGTTGTATAAAATGTTTTAATTTGTTTTTGTTGTTGTAGTTGTTTTGCATAACTCTAAATTTACAAGTCACATTTTGTTGTTCAGGAGGCAGGTGGTGCTGAACAGTTGAAAGTGCATCGTACTACTGATTTGCAGTTTTCAACTCAACAGACAAGCCGCAAGTCACCAGATGTTGTGGCCCTTAGTGCAGTTAGTAGGTAATGTGAAATAAATTACATCTAGAATGTGAAAGATCATTAATGACTTGTTAGGTAGTAGTCATCAGGGTCTTATTCCATTCCATTCCCTGTGATGAAGTGTTATTCCTCTGTTCCATGAAGAACTCAAAAATGGAGGATATTTTTTATGCTTTTCATGAATGTAGAGCTATGTGATGCATACTCAGTTGTTTTGATTTCAGCTGCTTGCATTCACCTCTGTTTGGTTTTGACTGACCTTTATAGTCGGTCCTTATATTAGTAATGTGCTCCAGTAGATAATATTTGTTTAAATGTGAGTTTAGTTGAAAAACACACTTCAAATTACTGCAGCACTATTGGTTTTAATTTATGATGCACATTTTGCTTGTTTATTTTTGTATTCCAAAGATAAAACTTATTAATCAGTCAGTAAAGTATATTATGTAATAATGAATGAAAAATTGTCCTTAAAGGAGCCAAAGTTAGAACCAAAGCATCAAAGCAAGCAGTGTTATTTATTTTTCAGATACATCCTTATTATATTCATTAAAGAGCCTTATGATCATTGGCTATTCTGTATTGTTATTTTGTATAATATTGTATAACTAATATAATAATTATGAATGTTCTACAATAAGAAGCTGAACAATTAAACATCATCATTTGGTGCTGCTTGTCTTAAAAGTTGAATGTTATTACTGAGAAATATTATTTGTCCACATGCTATTTGCTCAAGTTTGTTGCACATTTACTAGCAGATTTTGTTTGACATCACTGTTAGATTTCAGTTTCGATGTAATATGTAATGAATATGATTGATTGTGTTTATGTTAAACTTTAAGTTTACCCTTTCCTGTGCTCTCTCATGGTTTTCTGCTGCTAATATTTGTTGAGCTTTGTAGCTGGCAAGAAACATTTGATTTTGAAAGTGGCAGTAAAACCAAACTGTACAGAAAAATGAAGTTGGGAAGAATTCTGTTTTATATTTCTGCAGGTATAGAAACAAGGCATTTTGTGTGTGTTTGTTGACAGTTCTTTTTATTTGTTTGCTTTCTGCTCGACATTTATTTTGTAACTTGACACCTGTGTCCTGATAAAGTTGTTTAATTATCTATTAAAGTAGAATAGGGAAAGTAATGCTGCAGGAATATGAAATTGGTATTTAAGTTTATTTTCTTTCTTTTATAGTTTGTATATATCTCCATATAGATTTTTGCCAAATTATATGCATGTTATAATTTTTATTACATACCCTCTTACTTAGAGAAACAATATTTAGTATTTATCCAGAGATGCATTGCAATATTAGAAAACATTGACAGATACTGTTTAGTTTTGTAATTGTCTTTCAGTTGTCTTTGACTTCAGTGGACTGCATTCCTTGAGTTACAGAAGATATATACCTCCTATCCATCGTTTATATGAAGTATCTCTATCATTGAAGTTATTTGTTCAAGAGTCAAAAGACTTTTTATTTTAGTCGCAAGTTTCAGTACAAATGTGTGTGACTTGTGTTCTCTGTACATTCAGACCTTATTGAATGGTTTTAAAATGTAGTCTTTGTATTGCTGGTAACCAGGAACTTTATTTCCCCTTTGGATTACATTTGTGCACCATTCACCAATTACCATGACACAACATTGTGCTTCTTTCATTATTCTTTTATGAAAGTTACATGTTTTCATTGTTTCAGAAGTAAATACAGAAATAACATGGTTTCAAGTTCTAATAATTACTTTAGATCCATTTGTTGGTATTTAAAACTAATGTGTTGCTTTGAGTAACAAGTTTTAATTGAAATTACCTCCAAGCATTTAATATTGCATTTGGTCATCTATTATTTGTTTCAATTAAGACTGATATACTAACAATTTTATTTTAAATTATTATGTATTCTCCAATTTGTCGGAATAATTTATTATGTTCATTACAAGTTGTGTTTTGGAAGCTTATTTTCAAGATTATGGACTGATTGAAGTTCTGAGACAAAATTCATAGGTGAGTTTTATTGTAAAATTTACATTGGAATATTGTCTCAGTTTAGAAAATAGCACAGTGCTGAATATTCAAGGAACTTGACTTGGTAACAGTATTGCTCTATGCATTTAAAGCAAGTATTCATATTTTGATATTTCATTATTTGTATGTTAACGACTAGACAAAAAATTTATTGAAGGCCTCAGTTTTTTCAGCTGCTTGTACTGTGTGCAAACAGATGGTTGAAGAAATGTTGCACAAATTAAAAATTAATACAACAGAATGCATTGTTGTGTTCATACTCTATATTTCATACAGATCTTTCATACTTTTTTTGCCTGCCATCCTGAAAGTGACAGTAGATTTGATCATCAGAATAGCCATTGGAATAAAACTTCAAGCCATGTGAATACAAAACATATTTGTAAATGATACTGACAATACCTTGTAGTACAACATTTATGAGCTTACACATTAGTTAACAAGTTCCATTCTTCAAAACATGGATACATACCCGAGACACAACACCACTAAGTGATAAAGTGATTATCTTGTCTTGTGAGCTTGAGTGGTTTTTGCAGCACTTCAGAAGGATACTGCATTTTCATTGTATGTATTTGTAATTTAATAAATTAAGCATTAATACAGTTCAGTATTAATTAATAGTCTTAGATTTAAAATTAAAGACAACAGTGATACTGATAATGTAAAATGAATATAGTCTCAGTGACACAAAATGCATATAAAAGGACTGATAATTCTATTATTGCTTTTTTTTAAACTTTTTTTATTCTTTGAAACAGACACATTTAACAGTAGTGAGTCAAGTATGTTATTGTTGTGTCAATACAAGTCTCTGTGAAATAGGGATTCCAGGTATAGAAGTATGCATACATATGATCCACGTTACCGTGTGATTAATGAACTACTAATATTCCTATGCATTCACATGCATTTATGACTGAGTAATAATATCTTTTTGTTTTCATTGCTGGGCTATATGGTTCCTGTCATGGATTGAAAGATTTTTTTTTTTCCAATTACAGATAGTATAAAAGATGCACAGCTCTGGTAGTAGAAAATTATAATTTTGTCTAATTTCTTCAGTTCACAAGCCTAGATTTCATGGGGATTATAATTATCAAACTTCATTTTAACAAGGATCTCTGTTAATTGTAAAAGGAAGTACTAATTAATAATTATCAAAGATGTTATTCATAAGTTCAAAGGGTACAAAACTGTGTTCTCATCATGATGATTCATATCTGCACTTTTAATAAAAATACTAGTTCTACAAGATATAAATACATATGTTGCTCTAAATCAAATTAGGTATGGAACAGAATTTCAAATTTTTTCCAGTAGTAAATTGAAGGCTTTATTTTTGTTTTGTGTAGGTACGTTTTTTATTAATTTATACAATGAACAATTTTTTATTGTTTAAAAATTCTTCCAGCAGTTATACATAATTTCACCCTACAGTGATATATCAAACATTCTTGATGTAATCATAAATAGGAACAGAGATCAAATCTTTTGTATTTATTGACATATATCAGAAACTGACATTTATCAGAACCAACTTCTGTATGGGAAGTTGTAGGCCATTAAAATAAACAAAGGACCTATATGAATAGAAATTAGAAAGTTTCTTTCATTCAAATATCCTAGTGAAACTTGTTTTTGTAGAAATAATTTTCAAAGCTGTGCTCTTTGTGTTCATGTAACTACAATGTTGTCATATAAAAAATACTATTATAATTAATACCAATGCAGTTTATTCTATGATAGAAAATTACAAAACATAAAGTTAATCTTACACAACGATTTTTATACATATTTGCTCAAATATTTGCAGAATAATTGTTTGCTTTTCTTAATGCTAATGAATTTGGGATGAACGCCAATTTAGATATATGTAGATACCAAAAATTTGTAATACTATGAAAATATGTTTTTATTTATTGTATTTTATCAAAAGATTAATTGCACTTTGTTAAAATGCAAAGCTTACTAAAGCAAATACTCTGTCAAACCTTCACTCCTTCTTTTCAGGTGATTTGTGTATACAAAAAATAATTGTTGAACTATGTGTAGCATATTATGAAGTTAAAAACTTCCCAGAGAATTGTAAATGAGATTAATTACAGTAAACTTATTTTATTTTCTGTCCTTATATCCATAAAATACCACTTGTGCATTTTATGTTTTTCATTTGGATTGCTTTAAAAAATATTAATGTAATTGATTAATTCCGAAATTTTGTGTTGCAGAATTATTTTATTACTTTCTGAGGACAGTATTAGACTAATCATTGACATGCAAAAGAATAAAGAGATTTCTCTCAGAAATTGCTTGGCAGGACTTGATGTATCCTAGAAATTCAATATTTTTTCAAAAGTAGTGAATAGTTATTTGTAGTGTAAATATTGTATATAGACACTTTCATTTTGAGTGAGCTCTGCCATTGCTCTGAAATATTTTGATCAACAGGCATGTCCTTTTCTAGTATAAATATGTTGGCAATAGTTACCTTATAGTAGATTGGAACATATTTTTATGAACAGAAAAATGTAGATGATATACATTTAAAAGTGCAATTTCACAAAAAGTCTATGTTAGTTTTGAGAACTCCATCCATTATATTGAGCAGTCAGACAATTGTTTGCTTGCTGCCATTGTTCCTCATGTGTCCATGTGTGCTTGAAAGTTTTGGTTTAGCATAAATTTAAATTATTTTTCAAAAAGTGCAATAAAATATTAAAATGTACTTTAGAGCATGAGAAAAACTTTTGAGGTTGGAGAGAGGGTGCAGAGAAGTATGTAGAATAAAACCTTACCTATGTTACTGGAAAAAAAATTTAACATAGACTGTTCTTTCTAAATACGTGCTACCAGAGCCTATACGTAAAGGATATTCACAATACTTCCTCCTCTGAATTTTTAATGGGAAATACCTGAATTTTGCGAAGTTATGTGAATTGGTTTTGCTAGGGTGCATCAATTGAATTGATCATATAATTCCCAGGGTGCTGACCAAAGCATTTGTGCTTGAATTCATCTTAACAGTTTTTTACTGCAGTATTTGATAGCATTTTGCTCACAGATAGTTTAAGATTATGAAAGAGTTGAATTTGAAAGAATGAAGATTGATTGTGCCAACATATCAGACATTCGTATTTCAAGCTAGTAGTAAAAATAGGCATTGTCTTATTGAGATAATGTAATGAATTTCTTGACTATAAGAGTATATCTAATGATTCAATTATGATCTTGCAATAATGAATGTGCTTGTAGTTTAGTGAATAAAAGTTCTGTAATATTTTAAATTACAATTGTACTTTAGCTTCTTTTAACTCGGTATAAACTTCATGTTTGAGGAACATAGACATTGATATATTACTAAAAATTATTGCTATTTGAATTCAAGCTCAAATTCAATTTTGAAACACTTCTAGTCATACATGAACATAAAAATTTTAGAGCTTACACATGTTTGTGTCAAATGCTTCCCAAAGTGGCCTAACTTACCACTATTTCTACTCTGTTCTTTATTTTTGAATTTTCTTTCTTATCTAATGTTTGCAGTGGATTGTGTGGTTTTGTATGATTATGAATAGTTATAAAAATAGTTTGTATTGTTTACATATATTTAATTAATTTAATGATGTCTACAATATTCGTTATACTATAAATGATGTTGAGTAAAGAATGAATTGACACATTTGGAGGACAGTTGTCCATGTTTTGTTAAATTTTTTCTGAATATTTTGCTGCAGCAAATACATTGTTTTTAATTCCATCATGTATTTTTATTAATCCCTGAAATTCTTAATATTAGATTACTAGTATGATTATTTTATCCTCTCCAAATAATGAAGTAATTTTTATCTTGTCCAAATGTTGATTTAATACAAATATATTCTATGACCGTTCTTTTAATTTTCAGGAAATTATGCATTTTTTCAAGGACTTAATACAGTGAATGAGTGCTCTTAGTGGAGACCTTAATTAAGGGGAGAAACTGTTTGAAGTAGAAGAATCTATAAAATGAACTGTTCAATAACTAGTTCCAGAAACATATGCCTATTATGGAGGAATGTTCTGGGATTTCCACTGTATTAGAAAAATGATTTATACCAATTTTGTACAGACATGCTAGTTTCATTCTTGTCAAAAGAGAAACAAGTATAAAGAAGTTCATTACTGCATTGTAATCTGAAATATTTTGTGAGGGAAATCTGTAGAGTGATTATTTTTCTTTTTAACAGTATTTTTACATTCATGTATACAAAGTAGAAAGCCTCTATGACTCTATTGAATCTATCTATTTATCTCAGAAATGGCTCCGATTTCATTCTTTAAATCGTTGGTTTGAATAGAGCAAAGCATGCTAGTGAAAATGGTGCGTCTGATTTTCGTTAAAACTTCAAATTTTTGAAAATTCCATAGGTGTAAAATTTGTTTAATCTACTTCACCAAATTATTACCACCTTATCATTGATTACATAGCTTTATTTGTTAATGAAATTGTACTTGAATGTACTTTGACTGATGGTGACATATGATTGCATTATAATTTGAGTTACCAATTTTTTTCTTGTACTCACATAGACAAATTGTTCGTTAAATTGAAAATAAGTAAATCTGGCCTTCAAAATTTGATCTTTAAGAATGTATAATTTTTTGAAAATTAGTAGTTTTCATGATATTTCAAGTGAAGTAGCATTTTTTTAAATGTCAAAGTAAAAGTTTCTCAAAACATTCGTAAACTCGCGCTTCCTAAAAAGAGAAAAGTATGGAATCGTGCGCCGGGCGCAGCGCCCAATTTTCGGCAGAGAAACTTATTACCGGACTCTGGTAACTATGTGTAACGAAGTGGTTACGTCTTTGGTTTTTTTCGGAAATTGCGAAAAGTTAGCATTTCAAATCTACAAAGTTGAAGATTTTTGTCTCGGACAAAGCCTGTTGTAAAATATCAGGTCTTTAAAAAAGGTCACGTACAAAGTTTCTGGAGAAGAAGAAGAAAAAAAAGTATATTCGCGGGATTGGTACTTTAAATTTATGCAATTAAAAAAATCTCAAAAACTGCTCCAAATTGTTTCCTCGGAGAGAAGGGGCGCTTAAAAGTGGCGTGGATCTCATTTTCGAAAAATGCAAATTTAGAATTAATGTGAGAGTGTGTGGTGTTGTATTTTGAACCAGTTTGAAATTTGATTTATCTGTAATAAAGAAGCTTGGAATTACTTAGTAGGATCACAAGAAAATTACAAGTACGAGTATACCACAATACAATCTGCATGGATGGTGAAGATGAACGAAATGGGAGACACACCTTTTGTCCGTAATACAAAGTACCATGCTTGGATCCCGATAGAATCCAATATTTCCACTTCATGGCAATCCATTTCAACATTACGAATACATTGTAATCCAATAAACGGGAAAGATGCTGCGGGGTCAAAGTGGTGACCCGATGGTTGAGCATGGGTTTCTCACCTGTAAAGTTTACTTTCTCTAATTCCGGTCTCAGTAAATCATTTTTATGTTTTTTTCTTAAAGATTTTGTATTTCAGAGGCAAAAGGTCATTTTCATATAACTTGAAAAAAAACAACGTATTTTTTAACTGGCCTTGCGTTGGCTTAGGGGTTTTTCAAGTAATGATAAAAATGTTAGTGGGTTAGAAGTTGCAATACTATAAAATGATGTAACTATTATGGATAATAAGAGAAGTATGTGCTGTAATAGCATCACTAGTTTATACAACATTGTTTTAATGCATTATTTTTAGATCTCAAACCTATCTCGTGAAAATGTAAGCTGTATGCATTTCTGCACTGGATGGTTCTATGAATGGTGTGATATATCGGCCGGTAGCTATTAGTCCCTCCATATCAAATTCATGACACCCAGGACGTGGGTTAATCGAGAGAGCATTAATGAGAGAATTATAGACGTTGTTAGTTTTATAACCCATAAAGCAACAAAATGTGGTCGTAAAACTTCTGGGGCGACGGCTTCCCCCGCTCGATCGATACTGTTATAAATTTATACCAACATCACGTGAAACTTGTTTTTGATTCTTGAAGTGTTCGCGCGTTTTCAAGCCCGAAGTTGAGATATCTATTTGACTTTTGCAATTGCAATTAATAAGGCATCACCAAGTAGTATATATAGATGGAGTTCGTGACTGGTTTTCGAGCAGCTTAACAAGAGGCAGCACTGAAAAAGAATTTTCGAGAAAAGTAAAATAAAGTTGAATTTTTGTGAAATTTGATATTTTTATATTATTACTTTGTTTCTCGAATGCGCAAAGGGCATGTAATCAAACGAAACGAACGATCTCCATATTTTGACGAATATACGTGGTGAATGGGCTCCGCTCAGATCATCCAGCCACGGGCAGGGATGATGTCGACGTATACAAGCGCTGGTGTCATATCCACCTTCGCTCTTTCCCAGGCTGCTCGTAGAATGAACTGAATTGTTTTTAAAGCGTCAAACATGTAACAGCAGTTTTTAAGAGGAAGGAAAACTAGTCTAAATTTTTTGCCCAGAAGCAAAACAGGCTGGATCATCATCTGCGTGGAACGCTGTGATACTCCCGAAAATAAGTCACGGTTACGATTTAAATATTGGAATTTATGCAACGAAAGTAAAGAAATTCATACATTGTAATATAAGATTCATCAATATTTCAGACTTGCTCTACGAAAGTTGCCCAGTTGAAGCTGAGAAATGTGTCTTTGGAATGTGGAGCCAACCGAAAAACCGTTAATAATATTTAATTATTTAACCTGTATCCTTTTACCACAACTCTAACACTTACAAACACTTCTCTTGAGATGATTGTCCTATTTCAAACCTCACCCTTTCCGAATTAAAGAAATTTAATATCATTAAAAACTCAGTGCAAATGCATTACTCTACTTTAATACAGTTATATAAATTGAAAACAAGATATACTTGTTTTCAATGTTTGGACATTCATGTATGGTTTAATATGATTATAATAAATATTACAACCCTTCTTGTTCAACCAAATTATAAACTTTATTTGTATGTAAAATAAATCGTAAATTTAATTTACCTAAAAAATATTGATAGGATGTTATTTTGAACCACCTCTTATATTTTTTAAGGGCACAAGTTTGAGAAAGCGTCCCCTGTAAAAGCCAACATATTTTTTGAGTACCCGTATAGAAATTTTTTGTACGGGGTTAACGAATGTCTCGTGTCTATCGTTGCAGAGACTCCCAGGGAATGTTGGCCGTGTCTGCGAGAAGTGCTGAAGGCCTGTCCCCGTCGCCCAGTATCCTTGCTGGAGGCGACGGTCGGCCTTGCATGCGACGCACTGGCTACACCTGCACCTTTTGATTCATCAAGTGTTCAACACCCATACGGGCGGTTTCCAGTTACACTCTATGCGAGAGAAGAAATGTGCTAATATGTCGAATGTATTTTACAATATATCTCCCTCAAAACTGCGTCGTCGTTTCATTTTTTTCAGTGGGACCTAAGTTTATTATTTTTAAATGTGACGCCTTTTGCGAAGTTATGAGATTCAAATGATTACTATTCGTGCTTTTTGGTACAAGTGAACTGGTTTAAAACTGGAGGTTTCAAACTCAAAGTTTGTCCGTATTCTTTAAACATTTTGATTAATTTTTTGACATGTTCGCAATTTTGAAACATTGTAAAATTGCGATTGCCATTTGTGGGCTCCGTTTGTTATCCTTGCTGTTCACTCTTACCGGACTGATGAATCGAGAGATGTTTTGCTCAGAAGTGTGACAACTTTACAATTTTTTCATCACATTTGGTTCATGAACCGTTTCTCTTCAAAATAAATAAACCGGTCTCGCAAAATGGACTGCTATCTTCAAAGAAGTTACTTCATTTTCTCTTCCCGCCTGTCCACCGCCGCTTAATATCGGACTTCATGTAAATTGTTCTTGTGTCATTGCTTGAAAACCTCCTTTAATAGATGCGTTTAATTTTGCGTTCATTACGTTCCTATCATCTGTAAGTACGAGAAAACTCTTTCTCAAGGACAACGATTGTAATCTTTCAATAAGTTCGTTTGCGATGGTGAGTTGTCAGGACTCAATCCGCTTCAAACGAACTGTAATTATACGAAACGGATAAAAATATTCAAGAAACTTAACAAAGATACGTCGTACTGAATGGATACAATGCAAGCAAAGATACATTCTGAGGCATTTATTCCAATACGAACACCCAGGTGCGCGAACAAATCTCCGCGGCCCCGTCGGCCTGCAGGAAGCGAGCCATAATTTTCCGGCCTTGTTTCAATTTCCAGCCGAGCGCCCCACGTCGTATCTCGCCGGGGCCGCGAGCGTTGACAACCGCACGCATGGCGGCCGCGCGGCGAACCGCCGGCTGGCTATGTGCGTCAGCGCTGTAAACACTCGGACTTTCGTGGTCGGTGATCACTGTCGTGCGCCGCGCTCACAAATTTGTCAAGGGGGAGGGACGGGGGTTTCGCGTGTCGCGCCGTGATTTGAATCGCCGCCTCCGGTTTATGGCGGAGGGGCCGCGGACTCGCGCGGGCAACCGGAGACGGCCGACGACTCCCTAACGATTCCCTCACGGCCCCCGCCGCGGTCGCGCGCGCTGTCGTCCCACAAGAAGAGGGGAATTGAGTCGGGGGCAGGATTTCATGTAATGGTTGGAGGCCGTAAGTTATCTCTAGACATTTATTCCTAAACGAACCCACACATACAGACGTTTAAGATCAATATTTTAAAATGCATCATATCTATATTACTAATTTCCTTTGCGCGCAGAAATTGAAATTAAACTAAGCAGAATTCGTCCGCGTAAGAGGTGTCAGGTGGTATCTTTAGATATCCACGAACGCGCGAAAATCCAAAAACAATGAAAGATTTTCAACTTTGAACAATGCCAGAAATATTTGATAGTTATTCGGCTTATTCTCATACCTTGCGTACTGATTGGATTTACATACCCAGAACATAACTGTTTACCATACCCCTGACTTGCAGTATTTGTGAAGACTGTTTTTGTTAAATAATTTATTGAAGTATTATGCTCGAGTATTTTATTTGTTCTTGAACAATGTAAGTTCTAGATATTTTTCCAGACTTTATGGTTGTGTTCAGCATTTTTGCTACAACAGACCACGATTATGATTATAAAATTTCATTATATTGTTACGCCAAAATTCTCGCGTGCAACATCTAGCCATTTTCGCAAAAACACGTTCCACCATATTTGAGTTTTTTACGTGTGTCAAGAGTAAACCGAGATTCTTCGTCGCAATATGCTAATTGACGGGGAGATGTTGGAAAGCGTCCCCTCTGTAGAGAATTTGATGTCTCTCTCAAGGGACGCTGGAAAAGTATTCATTTGTCCACCTCAAGGACACAAGTAATAGATATCTAACCGCTTCTTTTAAGTTTTCCTCTCATTGAAATGTTTAACTCAAGGAATCCATATCAAGAAAATTGGAAAAGAAAACTTTCCAAAGAGTATTCTTGCGATTAATTTTGACTGCACTGACTAACCAAGATGGTCTTCGTTCCACTAGGCAATTAATCTTTCTCCTCTTTCCTGAAGGTTTGAAAGGAGAAAATTACCAATTCGCTACCTGCTTTATGTCTCGACCGGGCCGTCGCCCCAGCATTTAAAACGCGTGCACACAGTTATAACCAATAAAATAGTATATCAACTCGTCAACTTCTTGTCATCTGTTCACTCGTGTCAACTATTTCCTTGGGGTCTACTGTAAGCTGTCTCACAGATTGAATTTGGCTCAGGCTCAAAGTTTATTAGTGGCGTCTGGACCCCACATGTCGATGCAGAAGAAAAGTGTCACATCTAATTTTTTTTTTTTGTTAAAATGAGTTTTCCACTGGGTCTAAGAGTTAGACTCAAGCATTTTGCTGAGTCGATCCGAGGTAAAGGTTGCAATTCGATTTTCATTAGGGACATGTTTCTTTCGTTTGAGAGAGAAGATGAGGTGGACAGACACTGTCGTTAACCTAGAGGCGCCAGGTTGTGGTACATTGAAACGCAAGTTTGAGACCATTAATAATCCATCATTAATTTGTTTCTCTCTCCATATTATTGCTCACCTAAACTATCGCGTTGGTGTCAAGGTGTTAATTCAGTAACAGGACTCTGCAGTTGATCGTGAGAGGACAGCCAACTACACATGAAGAAGTCGGCCTTCACGAGAATTTTCATCTTAAGGCTGAATTCAGTTGTGTATATGAAGGAAACCTGTGAAGGTGCACTTAGATCTATTGGACTAATCTTTTCGTCTGCGTTTCCTTTAGCATATCTCTTCTGAATTATTGATAATGCCTAAACAAACACCAGTTTGAAGATTTGAACGCATATCACTCTCCTAAGAACAAATAGACTCTTCATGAAAGAGAGAATTATGGGATTCCCATTATGAATTGTGCAGTCAAGATCTTCAATGAAATGAAAAGTTCAAGATCTTCTATGAAATAGTCCGACTCAGATAAAATTTTTGAACTAATCATCCAGATTAATTAATCGAAATAAGAAAGCTGTAAATATTAGAAGCTAAGTCATTGAAATATAAATTACACTTAACGCGCGAGTTACATATAAAGAATATTTTTTACAAAACGTTTTTCATAAATTCTGCCTGTTTACAATTTTTCTTTTTAATATTAAATGGCATATAATTGATTGAAATGATAATAATTTAATGAATAACATGCAATGCTTTCTCAAAAATCTTATCTTCAAATTATTCAGTAGTTTATGCATTTCAAATTGCTCAATTGGATCAAAGTTTGTGCATTTTGTGTTTTTAATATTCCTTCCATTTTCTTCAGTAAACAGCGCATCATATCGTCATAATTATTTTTGTGTCTTTCAAGCGAATTGGAAAGAGACGTAACTCCATACGACACACGCTAGAGCCAAAACGGTTCCATTGTTCTGTGGTCTTTTCAGAGGCATGTGCATGCATTAAACACGACTGTCAGATATTAGTTTGAAATTGCTTGAGTCCGTGTGGACATATTTCGAAGGAGAACACTCACCTAATACAAAATTTAAGGCTGAATTTCCCACGAGTTGTTTGACCACGCCTAATTCTGCAAGAGGAAGCGCCTCCTCTCCGTTTTTGGACCGTCCCCTAAATCCCAAATGAAGTCTGTACCTGCTCCAGGAAGTCACGCTCCGCGGCGGCTGCGTCGGTTCATTTTGAGCTCGTGGGCGGGAGGAGACTCGCCCCGAGGGGTGGAGCGAGGCGGGATGAGCGGTCTGGGCACGGAAAGAGCAGGGTGGGGATGGGAGGATCTGGAAAGAACGTAACGGGCAAGACGGAGAGGGCGAGGGGATGAGAAGGTGAAGGTGAAGATTGGAACGGATAAATTCGGGGAGGGGAAGATAATGGTTGGAGACAAGTGACGCATGAGATGCGGGGTGAGGGAAGGAAGGAGTGGGAACAAGGAGTTGGTGAAGAGATAAATGCAACGAGAGGGCAGAGTGGAGAGGAATGGGGCTGAAAAGTGTGGAGGTGGGTTGAGCGGAGTGGAGAAGACCGGGTCAGGTGTCAGGTGTGAAATAGCTGATGAGATCGGAGCTGGAGAAATGGCCGTGGGGGAGAGCACGACGGAGCAGGGAAGAGTGGGAGAGGGTGCATAAGAGCGGGGTGAGGGTGAGAGGGCTTAGGGAAATGAAGCCGTGGAGAATGGCGAGGAGAGTGTGCAAGTTAAGACGGGTTGGAGAAGGTTGGAGCGGACAACTGTTTGGGGATGGATGAATCGAAGAGGAAAGCGAGCCGAGGAAGGGCGGGAAAAGCAAGGCGGAGAAAAGTGGTGCGAGTTTGAGTGTGACAGATATGATGGAAAATACCGGAGGAGAAAACTACTTGGGGAAGGGCGGGTCGGAGAGCTCCCGCATCGAGGGAATACTGGTCGAGGAATGACCGAGCTGGAAAAGCGAGCGGGGCGAGATAAAGCGGGACAGATAATGCGAAGGTCGGAGCTGGAAAAGCGAGTCGAGAAAAGGGAAAGCTGGGAAGAATAGTAAGAGTCGTGAAGGCGGCTCCACACATGCGGTATTCGGCGAATCCCGAGCAACCGCTCGCCGAATCCCGAGTAGTGTGGACGGGTTGCTTGCGATTCGCCGAGCGCGGAACATTCGGTGCTCCGCCCTACCCACCGCGTGTCGGTCGAAGTGAACATTCGCCGAACATATCAGCTGTTCGGGACTGTGCGTGCTACTCGGCGACTGCCGAATGTGTGGAGCCTCCTTAAGGAAGAGCGACGCGGGTATAGAACGATTTTGTTAAGAATGGGATAAAGTGACAGTTTGCGAAACAAGTGAACATCACGGTACTTCAG